GGCTGCCTCTTGCATGCCCCCTACTGGGGATCAAGCCCGCAACCCAGGCCTGTGCCTTGACTGGAATCAAACCCGGTACCCTTCAGTCCGCAGGCTGGCACTCTATCCACTGAGCCAAACCAGCTAGGGCCATTAGGAGCTTTTAAACACGCAATTAAGATGTTGCCCACCTCTTAAACACCTTTAGTTGTAGGACTTTGATGCAATGGGGACCAAGGGCCAGGATTGGCAATTGAACGTCTGAAATCAGGAAGTCCCTCAAAAGGTCTCACCCGTTTAAGAGCCACCCTTGAGACTCAGGGTCATGGTGGCCTCTTGGGGACAGAATTGGGAAGGTGGGGCCAGGAGGCTCCCGGACTGGCCTCCGTGTCAAGGAAGAGCCAGGCGCCGAGGTCCAAGTGCCTACGTCCTTCAGTTCACCCCCGTTCCTTTCCCAGATGCAATGCAAGCATCCGAAAGAAGAATATTAGAGGCCACACGCCCCGTGACCTGGCTCTGACAATTGGGGATGACCTCATCACCTCGCTCTTTGCTGCTAAGCTGGGCCTTGATGACTATTAGACGCTAGGGCCTCCACGGAGCTTCACTTAAAGAAACCATCCAGCTCTGGCGGTTCTTTGCTCGTTTCCTTCTGAAATGTGTATTTGAGGTTTGGTAATTGTGGTTAAGATGAACTCATATGTTTTTGTCTTAATTATATGACAGTGGAAGCATGGATATTTCCTAATGTGATGGTGATGAACTTGATGCATGTCTTATTGCTGCTTGTTTTAGGATTTCTTTTTCAATAGATAATAATTGCACAAAGTTCAAAGCTAAAAAGTATGAAGTATTGTGTAGTGAAAAATCTGCTTCCCGTCCCTGTCCCTCAGCCACCCACTTCCCCTCCGCAGAGGTAGCCAGTGGTAGTATCAACTGTGTCTTTCCAGAAATAGTATAGGATTGTATAAGCCGTGTGTGTAGAGTATGCATGTGCAGGTATATAGAGTAGGCATGAATACAAATATAGATAACACACACATATATTATCAGTGTCTGGTGATATCCCCTCTTGTGAGACAAATAATAGTGAACTACACACTGTCCCGTCTTGTTCTTTTGCTTAATGTGTCTTGTAGGTGGTTCCAAATTAGTATATAAAGACTGAGTTTATTTAAAAATGTTTTTCTTTTTTTAATATGTCTTTTATTATTGAAAGCATTACAGATACTCCCATTTCCCCCCCTCCTTTACCTCCCTTCTTCTAGACCCTACTCACCCCCATGTCTTTACTACTCTAGTGCCTGTGTCCATGGGCTATGCCTATAAGTATATAAGGTCTTTGGTTTATCTTTTCTCATCCCCCCCAACCCCACATCAAGGTATATCAGTCTATTCCATGTCTTTATGCTTTGGGTCTTATTTTGTTGGTCAATTCCTTTTGTTCATTAGATTCCACAAATAAGTGAGATCATGTGATATTTGTCTTTTTCAGATTGGCTTATTAAAAATGTTTTTCTTGTGTTGAACTCGTGGATATTCCTATTGTTATGGCTTGTAATTTGGTGACAAATAAGGTTTAAATAAAGTACTTGCATGAATGCCTAATTTTGGCTTATTCCTTTTTTCAGAATATTATTTCAGTCTTTGGTGATTGAATCGTGGAGTCCCTAAATTGTTTCTTTTAATGTATGTAACAAGAATATTCATTAATATAAAATAACTAACTTAGCACAATAAATAACAGACTTTGTTAAGTGGTTGCTATCACTACCTGCACTTTATTTCCTGGAAGCGGTGGCTGTCTATAGGGAGGACAGGCATAGTCCTTGGAATCCAAGCTCCCAGTGGAGTTGGGTGGTGCCGCACTGTCTTCCCCTGGCACACCCTTGGCAGGCTTTGTTAGGACGCTGCAAGGATAAACAGTGTCTGCAGAGACCCATGGAGTGTGATCCTCTGGTTTGGTGTCTGGGGATGGACTTTGCTTAGCCAGGAACACCTCTCCCAGAGTTCTCTTACATTATGGATCAGTCAGGGTTGGCTGCAAGGTAAACTGCACAGGGTTCAAGATTTAGAAGGTGGCAGTGAAACAATGGCCATCACTCTTGGAAGCTGGGTTAGGGCACCAGACACTCCTGCAGTTGGTGCTCAGGGTTCCAGGTGGGATGGCCTGGCCCCCGGGGCTGAATGTCAAGTGGTTGGTGGTTCAGTGTCTTCCCTGCATCTGAACCCACTGCCATCTCCTCCAAAGGCCTGGTTGCTGCTTCATGCCTTCGTCCCACGCCCCCACAGGGCTCCTGTGACCTGGAATTTGCCATTCCTTCCTTACCGTCAAGGTGAGTGAGTTCCCACGTGTTTATTGGCCAACTGAGTTCCTTACTCTGTTTTTTATTGATTTGGAGATGTTCTTTATACGCTATAGAAGCAGAGTATCTTCTAGAGCCCAGAGCAGCGCTGTGTAATAGAAATGTAATACAAGCCACATCCATGAAAGTAAATTTCCCAGTAGCCAAATTTAGTTTCCACTTACTCCTAAGCTACTAAAATATCAGGAATCAAAACTGTGTTAAGGATTTTTCAGCAGTCATTGAAATAAATTTATTTTTCTCATTAGAAAATTACATTGATAGTGTATGTTTTTGAGTCATACCTCCTCCATTGCTGGGATAAATACAACATACTCTTACTGAATTCCATTCCTGGGTTTCATTTCCATCTGTTTAGAGTTATTATATCTTTTAAATAAATGAAGTTGAGCTATGTTTATTATTGCTTGGAACCAGTGTAATGGTAGGCTCACAATATGAGTCTCCCTCCCACTCTCTAAAAATCACCGGGCGAAATACCTTTGGATGCACAAATGAACCCATAGGAGACGCTGGTGCCTTTAACCATGGAGCTGGTCCCAGGCTGGGCTCTCCGGAAACAGATGCTGAGACTATTTGTAAATGGAAGAGAATGTGTGTTTAATTGGATCAAAATCCCTGCCCACCAGGGAATTTCTTCTCCAGAGAAGTCTCAGTTCTGCATTTAAAGCCTTTCAACTGGTTGACTCAGGCCAGGCTAGGCCACCTAGACCGTGGTCGGCAAACTGCGGCTCGCAAGCCACATGTGGCTTTTTGGCCCCTTGAGTGTGGCTCTTCCTAAGCCTTAGGAGTACCCTAATTAAGTTAATAACAGTGTACCTACCTATATAGTTTAAGGTTAAAAAATTTGGCTCTCAAAAGAAATTTCAATCATCGTACTATTGATATTTGGCTCTGTTGACTAATGAGTTTGCCGACCACTGGCTAGGATGATCTCACTTCCTTAGTCAGTTGATTATGAACTTTATTATTTTTTGTTGTTAATCCTCATCCCAGGATATTTTTCCACTGATTTTTAGAGAGAATGTAAAGGAGGCAGGGAGGGGAAAGAGAGAAACATAGATGTGAAAGAGACACTTCGATTGGTTGCCTCCCACATGCTCCCCAAACAGGGTCAGGGATCCATCTGCAACTTAGGTGGGTGCCCTTGACCAGAAGTGAACCCAAGGCCCTTCAGTCCACAGCTGATGCTCTATCCACTGAGCCAAACCGGCTAGGGCTGTTAACCACTCTTTTGCCCACTCTGTTGATAAGTTTGAAAATGGAGCCTGCTCGTGGTAAGCACGGGCCTCACCCTCTGCCATTGCTAAAATAATGAGGGTGGTTAAGAACTTGATTGTTCTCAGGCAAAGCTGAATTCCTTCTTCCTCCCGCTCTGGCTCCACTATTAATTTTAAAGCTCCATGTCTAGTAACATTGTGCAGATCTCTCTGTGATATGGACTACAGTATTTCCCTCCAGTTTGTATTTTATTTTGGCTGACGGTGTGGGCTACCTTGCAGAATTTATTTTTCTGTAGCCAACCTTGACCTATTTTCATTATGGCTTCAAGGTTTTGAGTTAGTTAGAAAAGTCAGTCCTAGCCCTAGCTGGTTTGGCTCAGTGGATAGTGTCGGCCTACAGACTGAAGGGTCTCGGGTTCAATTCCGGTCAAAGGCACGTGCCTGAGTTTCGGGCTAGATCCCCAGTAGGGGCTGTGCAGGAGGCAGCCAATCAATGATTCTCTCTCATCATTGATGTTTCTATCTCTCCCTCTCCCTTCCTTTCTGAAAGGTATTACTCCCACATCCTTGAAATGATCCTTACCTTAAAGGCCACTTATTTTGGGCAAAACTACTGGACTGAAACACAACGGAGGAGGTATGATTAACAATCTTTAAACATGGTTGAATATCTTTAGCCTTGTAATTGGAGAACTACTGAGTGTATGGCTTAAGGGACCTTAGACAAGTCTAAGATGGAGTGCTGAGGAGCACGACTGTAAGTTCTAAATCCTCATATTACACAACTAATTTTGGAGTGTGGCTTTAGGAGTCTTATGTTATTGGAGGGCCGAGCACAGAACATGGTTAAAGACCATTCTATTGTTAGAGTGCCAATAAGGTGGTACAGTTAAGGGTGGTCTCAGATGGGTGTGATTGGATATCCCAGGCTGTGACACTAAGGAATTGTTTGGTCAAAATGGAAAGACCCCCTGGGATTGGAGTGCTGGGGACAGTGTATTATTAAGGAGGCTCCATAATGGGAGAAGTAGGGACGAAAGCCTAACAAAAAGCAGGAAAGATGGTTAGGAGATGGTTTAGCAAAGACAACAATAGACATTTGGGAGCTAAGAGGAGAGATGCCAGAAGGGGAGCTGTCACAACAGCCAAGAGAAGAGGCAGCTCCAGATGCAGGTGGGCTCCAGAGGAAGCCATATTCTCCCGAAGAAACCTGGAAGGTTTCTCCTCCTCCCCTGAAATCTCTGAATACAGTTCCTAAATTTTCTCCCTATGTAAGGGACTAGACTTTCTAATAAATATACTAGTGACCCAGTTCTTATGTCTTCCAAGGAATTGAATTCTTGTAGAACAGTGGACTTAGGAATTCAAGATTATCTGTACCACTCCTGATTCCCTATTTTTATAGATGAGTAAATGAGGTACAAGGCTAAGGTAAGAGAGTTGTAAAGAAGCAACGTTTATTAAAATAGAAGGCCACAAAACATGAAGACTTAGTGTGAAGAAAGTAAATGAAGCCAAATGTCCTCTGACCACTTATGGAATGCATTTTTCTATCCCATTTCATCAAAGTGTAAAAATGTTGAGTATTTAGTCCTCACCAGCATTTTCACTTTTAAAGTGTAACAGGTCGGAAGATTGCTCAATACGTCTGTCAGTCTGGAGTGGCAGCTTGTGGTGGAGAGATTTCATTCTCCTGTGTCTGTTGAGGTGAGCCTCACCCACATGTCTTGCACACCTAAGGCTTCTCCTCCTGGTGTGTCATCTGATGTAAGATGAGGTATGACTTTTGGATAAAGCCTTGGCCACATACTCTGCATACACAGGGCTTCTCTTTTGAATGTGCCCATTTATGGGTGATTAAAGCTGACTTATTGCTAAAGCCTAGTCCGCACTGCTTGCACATGTAAGGCTTCTCCCTCGAGTGTTTCCTCTTGTGCCTGATGAGACCTGCTTGGTGACTAAAGCCCCGCTCACACTCTCTGCACACATATGGCTTTTCCCCTGAGTGTGTCCTCTGGTGTGCAATGAGGTTTGACTTCTGGCTGAAGCCTCGCCCGCACTCCTCACACACCATGGGCTTTTCCCCTGAGTGTGTCCTCTGGTGTCTGATGAGATTTGATTGCTGGCTGAAGCCTCGCCCACAATCCTTGCACACGATGGGCTTATCCCCTGAGTGTATGTTCTGGTGTCTGTTGAGGTGTGACTTCAGGCTAAAGCCTCGCCCACAAACCCCACACACATAAGGCTTCTCCCCAGTGTGCGTCCGCCTATGTGAGATGAGGGTTGAATTCTGGCTAAAGCTGTGCCCACACACTCCACACACATAAGGCTTTTCCTTTGAGTGTGTCCTCTGGTGGTTGACAAGGGTCGTCCTCTGCCTAAAGCATCGCCCACATTCCTTGCAGGCATAAGGCTTCTCCCCTGAGTGCGTCCTCTGGTGTGAGATGAGGTTTGACCTATCACTGAAGCCTAGTCCGCAATCACTGCACACGATGGTCTTCTCCTCTAAGTGTGTCCTCTGGTGTCTAACGACAGCTGACTTCTGGCTAAAGCCTTTCCCACACTCCCGGCACACATAGGGCTTCTCCCCCGAGTGTGTCCTCTGGTGTATGATGAGGTTTGACTTCTGACTAAAGCCTCGCCCACATTCACTGCACATGTAAGGCTTTTCACCTGAGTGTGTCCTCTCGTGTATGATGAGTGTTGACTTCCGGTTAAATCCTCGTCCACACTCTCTGCACACAACAGGAGCTGCCTGGCGGCCTTTGGGGTGGCTTGGATGATGCTGTTAAAGCTTTTTTCTTTGTCTTTCCAAATGAAGGCTTGGGGCCTTCTCTTTCTTGACCTTCTGCTTTATCACTCGAGCAATCTGGATCAGAGGTTTGTTGCTGCTTTTTCTGGTCCCCCTGGCACAGGTCCCCCGGCTGGATGTGATTTTCTGCACACAAGCATGGGAAAATCCAGGGGGGATTACTACACAGCATGTGCTGCACATGGAACTTCTGACTAGAGAAACCCGGAGGGCAGAAAGCACAGAGGTGGAGCTCTGGCTTTGGTTCTCCTGCAGAGAGAAGAGTCAGAGGCAGAACTGAGACTCAGGAAGGTAACCCCAGTAATTCTGATGGAGAGACTCAATCCCCTGTGCTTCAAAATGCTTAACATTTAAGTGCTACCCAAACAAGACCCTCCTTTACATGATCCTTTTCCAGCCCTTCACAACATCTTCCAATTTCCACTACAATCCAGAAAACCCATTCCTGAACCTATTCTATGTATCAGACTGTAAAAGCATCACAGGCAGTTTCAGATCTGTAAACAGGGCCAAGATGCAACAGTCTCCCCCCTCACTACAACCATCTTCTAACTCACAACCACCCACACTTATATAATCTGGGTCCGCAAGTATTTTTGGTGACGGAGAGATCTCTAACCAGACGACCCATGTGGAAATGCCATGTCTTTCCATATTTCCCTATGAAGACAAAGGGATAGATTGAGAGAGCAGTCATTTAGACTGGAGAACTCCTAGTGTAAGAAGCGGCACAAAAAAGTGGCTAGAGAGATTGTGTGTGAGATGCCTGAACTAGTTTTCCCACTCATTAACGAATGTTTATCAGAAGATTTCTTTGTGCCATAATGCAGCAGGTCGACAGCAATGGGCACACAAACAGCCTTAAGAGATGCTCCTTGCTGGGACTCCTGATCAGTTCAATCCCTGGTCACTCCTATAATTAATATAAATGAGTTTCCCCAGAAATCAATGTAAAAGAAAAATTTTCTTCTTATAGTACTTAAGTAGGAGATCAACATTCAGAAAAACAAAACATAAGTAAATACAGTGCTACCTGCACAAGGAATGTTAAACAAGTTATTTAGACCAAAGAAAAATGATACCAGGTGGAAACTCAGATCTCCAGAAAGAAAATGAAGAGTACAGAAAATGGTAAATTATCTGAGTGCATATAAAATAATTTCTTCTTGATTAAAAAAATACATATCGTATTAGGGAATTTACAATGTATGTAAGCGTAATACAAATAAGAACTATAGAATAAAGAATGTTGGGGGAAGGGGTAAACGGAACCGTGCAATTACAATGTTCTTACATTTTTACATAATAAGTAGGACAGGAAAAGTTAGGGCTGTATATCGTAATTCCTTAGAGCATAGGTCGGCAAGCTTTTTCTTAAATGGTCAGATAGCAAATAATTTTAAGCTTTGAAGGTAAGTATAAAACTAAGGATATTATATGCTTATGTAACTATTTAAAAATGTAAAATCTACTTTTGGCTCACAGTTTTTTAAGAATTCAATTTCAATTTCTTGGTTGGATTTTTAGCCTTCCTCCCTCTCCCTGGGCTTGCCTTATTTCTTTAGCTCACTCAGATTTTTTCCACACTCTTGCTTGATCTTTAAAAAAAAAAAAAAAGTAACGAGAAAGAAGTCTATGAATATGAAGGGAACTGAGTGAGGTAGAGAGGGAAACTCAGGAGGAGGGAGAAAGGCTTCTAGTGGAGGAAGACACAGCAGGAAAGCCTGTCCTAGGGTAAGGATGAAGGTCTGGAAGGGAGGCGGCTGTGCCAGGCAATGCAAACAGCAGCCGGGGAGGTGAGGCATAAGTCTTCCCTCCCTACACCTGAGCAATGCCTCCTCTCCCCCACCCCAAGCTGCCCACACGCAGCTCTATGATCCATTTGCCCAGTTCCCCACTCACCCGGACAAGTGGCTGGTGGGCATTTTCTCTCCTCTCTCCAGGTTTCCTTCCCTTGCTCCAGCTGTGTGATGAGTTTTGGTTTAGAAAATGGAATTCCTGCTCACAGAGAAAGAAAACAAGGTGGCTGCAGGTTACGGACTCAAGGGCCAAGTCAGAAGGCAAGATGGCTGCTTCAAGCAGATCCTAAAATGCCCAGCAGCATGCATAGGGGTCCTAAGAGATGCCAGGCTTACCCAGTGAGACCAGGTTGCTGTAGTTTTCCAGCATCACCTCCCTGTACAGGGACCTCTGAGCAGGGCTCAGCAGCATCCACTCTTCCTGGGTGAAATCCACAGCCACATCCCTGAATGCCATGTGTGCCTGTAAAACAAAACACAGCCCTGCTCACCAAGGAGCCAGCCTTGCCCATGGCTCATGGTAATGGGCAGGGAGAAGGCGTCCCTGGGGGAGGCAGGAGAGTTATCTATATCCTGCCTTTGACTGCGACCCTGGTGCCAGTGTTCCAAAACCTTTAAACCTCTGTGGCTATCCAGCAAGCAGCACTTGTGAATCTACACATTCAAAACCCTGGATGAACAGTTTGGAGAATATAGGGTATCCCCCCCCAAAAAACGAATATACACACTTTCTATAAAGGCCGTGTTTATCAAAATACATTTCATTTTCAAAATTGAGCTATCAGCTGTTAAAGTGTATATACATTTTTTGAGACACCCTGTATTTGTAAAAAAAAAAAAGGGTCCCTAACTCTCAGAAACTTTTAATCTAGGCATACAGAAGAACAGACAACATATAAAAATTAAACAATAGTAAAACATAAAAGGCTTTCTGAGTTTTAAGAATTTAAAAAATTAAACAGCATAACCAAGTGAATCAATATTGAAGCATCTGGCCCTAGCTGGTTTGGCTCAGTGAATAGAGCATCAGCCCTCAGATTGAAGGGTCCTGGGTTCGATTTTGGTCAAGGGCACGTACCTCAGTTGCAGGCTCGATGTCTGGTCCCAGTCGGGGCTTCTGCGGGAGGCAACCAATTGATGTGTCTCTCTCACATCAATGTTTCTCTCTATCTCTCCCCCTCCCTTCCAGTCTCTCTAAAAATCAAAGGGAAAATGTCCTCAGGTGAGGATTAACAACAACAAAATATTGAAGCATCTGAGTGACTAAAGTTCATATACTAGTAATTCAATAAAGGCATAGACTAATCTACAACTCAGTCCTTCCCCTGAATCCCATGGCCCCTCAGCCTTCTCAGGCCTGAGAGGCACAAGCGGGAAGTGGTGAAGAGCAGGGACTTGAATCATACAGCCTGGGTTCGGGGCCCAACTCTGCCATCAACTAGTGCCTTACTTTTCTCACCTGTGAAATGTGGATAACAGCAAATTTACAGCCCCACACTGTAGATGCTCAGGGCGGACCTTCTTGGCCACTCAATCTACAAATTCGTTTCTACATCCCATTCTCACCCCCCTGCCCAGTTCTACTCATATCCGTAATATTTTTTCCAAAATGGAGGGCACACTGGAATACATATATCAAGAAAGATTTCATACCTCCGAGGGAAGGCAGGGGAGGGTGGGGGAAGGGGGAGAGATGGACCAAAGGACTTGTATGCATGCATATAAGCATAACCCATGGACACAGACACTTGGGGGGGTTAGGGCATAAGCGGGGAGGTGTGGGGGCGGGGGAGGGAGGGCAATGGAGGGATAGGTCACATATGTAATGCCTTAATCAATAAAGGAAAAAAAAATTTAAAAAAGAGAAACATTTCATGAGAGAGTCCTAAGAACTTGGTCTTGAAGGATGGGCCAGAATCACAAGAGAAAAGTGCTAGGTATTCCAGATAGAGGAAGCAGAGAAGAGGACACTGAGAGCAAAGGGAGAGAGGAAGCCACAACGTGGACAGGGAGGACTACCTGGGAGGAATAGGCACCTACCGGTAAAACACAGCATAGGTGGAGTGCAGACACCTGTAGGTTTTTTAAATTATTACCATAAATATACAAAACAAAAATTTTACTATTTTTTTATCATTTTTAATTTTTTAATATTATTACTGATTTCAGAGAGGAAGTGAGAGGGAGGGAGAGACAGAAACAATGATGAGAGAGAATCATTGACTGGCTGTCTCCTGTACACCCACGACTGGGGATCGAGCCCAGGCATATGCCCTGACCGGCACATGTGTACGTTATGTGTACATTTCTGTAGGATTAAGTATATTCACATTGTTGTACAACCATCACCACTATCCATCTCCAGAATTCATTCATCATCCCACACTAAAACTCTGTAACCATTACACAGTAACTTCCTCCTCACCCTCACACCCTGCTAACCACCATTTTTACTTCCCATCTTTAGGCTTACTAGTATACCATCTAGGTGTGTGTAAGTACACTCTATAATGCTCACACATGACAACATCTCCTGCCTGCACACTTCTCAGGACATATTCCCATCATTAAGCAGTGCATGACTATATTTATACTTTAGAAGCCCAATTTAAGAGAAAGGGGGGAGGTGGAGAAACAGGCAAGAAGGTGGAGAAGAGACAGGAAGCTAGGGTAGTGCAGGAGTAGAGGCAAAGGAAAGGAAGGAGGAACTAAGGGGTACCACTTAGGCAGAATTGAGAGGATACAACAGCCAATCAAAAGGGAGGGAGGTTTGGAAAGAAGAGGCAAGGAAAACTCAAGAGACCCAGCTTGCACCACTGGTAGCAGCTGCAGCTATTAACCAGATCAGAAGAAATGGGAGGAAAGAGAGGCAGAGACAGAGAAAACCAGCATTCTCGATTCCAAAATGTCTTCCTCTTCCACTCCTGACAAGGGCTGGTCAAAGAAAAAAACAATTTAAACAACCAGGGAAACAAATATTAATTCTGTTGGGTATAACAATAAGATGTGGTTCCCTTAAATTAAGAAGACCTTCTGTGTTAGAGATACCTACTGAAGTATTTAAGGTGAAATGCTAGGACAATTTGCTGCAAACCAGTCTAGCAGGGAAAAAGAGTAAGTGAGGGAATTGGATGGAAAAAGAGCAGAATGTTGACAACTTCACAAGCAGAGAAGCTCTGAAGTGAGCAGTCTGAACAAATGCCGAGGGAAGAAATGCTGGGCCAGGACCGAGAGGTCATGAATAAGGGCCCCAGGTCTGAAGATCAGTCCCTGTGAAAACTGTCACTCTTACCGCAGGCCTCGTTTCCTGGGGAAGCCAGCTGGGGCTCTGATCTCTGGATGTCAAAGGTGAGCAAAGGAAACCCTGCAGCATGCAAAAGGCAAGCAGGACCCGACCTGAAGCTGGGCTGCCAGAGGCCAGGAGCCTCCCTTTGCCCACTAGGAAGTCCGCTCTAGGCAGACAGGAGACATAGGGGCGGCAGAACAGGAACAAAAAGACTCAGGAGCGTCACTGGAAACAAGACCCAGCAGGGTAGGGCTTCCTCTTCCTTACAAGCATGAAGAATGGAGCTGTCACATTCGAAAAGACGGTGGGGAGCTTGCTGGGGAGAGAGCTGATTTGTGGGCTGTGAACGCTGCCAGCTCAGACCTGCTACTGGCGCTGGCCCTGAGCTGACCCTCTCTCACCTTTGCTCTAATAAGGAAAGTTAACACCTACCAGGCACTTAGCACATTCTACCTCCCCAACCCAATGGAGTAAGGATTTGCTACCTTCATTTCACAGATAAGAAAATTGAGGCACAAGGGAGGTCAGTCTCTTGCCCAAGGGGACAAAGCTATAAAGTCACAGAGCCTGGATGAAATGCGGCTCTGGGTGATAAGAAACCACTGTGGATTATAAGGGTTCTCAGGGTGTCATTCTGAGATGAAATCAAGAATGATCAAGAGGTGATAAGCACTGAATCTGGGTGATGGGTCTATGAAGTTCTATCTACTTCTGTCTTGAAATTTTCAGTAATAAAAAGTTAAGATGAAACTTAAAGTCCCAAAGCCTGGCCACCCCAGAGATGGGGGAATTCATAATTCCTGGGATCAGCGACAGTCCTCCGCATCTCTGAAAAACTTGCCCAGTGGCCTCGAGCCCCACTGCTTCCAAGGCCCGAGCCCAGGGGTGACCTGCCGATTTGAGACCCTAAGATCGCGCCCAAATGGCCATTCCAACATCTAGTCTGAGCCAGGGACCCCGCACCCCGCCTCAGCAAAACGGAGAGGGAGGATCGATGCGAGACTCTCAGCCCTCACCCACCAAAACCCCAATGGCAGCCCCCACTTCACCACCTGGGAAATGTTAGGACCCCCAGAGCCTAGTAACTCAACTCCCTGAAACCCAGGGACTGTGGCATGAGAGACCCCCCTCTCCCAATACCCGTATTTCGGCCAAGGCCAAACATGTCGCAACCCACAGGAACCCTACGACGAAAGGCCGGAGCTCAGCACCCACCATCACTGGGCTTCAAGGTTGAGCTTCACTCACGTCGGGGATGCGCGCCCACACCCCCAAATAAGACATCCGGTAGCGCACGGCCTGAGCCACGACAGCACGTCCCCATCACTACCTCCCCGCCCGCCCACGGCACCATCCGCAGCCCCGGCCCACAGCAAGGCTTTTAGGCCCACCTTCCGGAGCAGGGAAGGGCACGGTGAGGCAAAGGTGCCACGGGAACCTCACTCACCTGCGCCACCGAAGAACAAGGGTCAATCTAGCCACCAGCTGGGGATCGGCTCCAGCCACGCGGGCGGACTACACTACCCAGAATCCGCCACGGCGCCGGGACCACGCCCCACCCCCCAGGATGCTCGGCGCGGCCGGAGCGCGCAGCTGGCCCGCGCTCCTATTGGCCTCCGAGGGAGCGCTGCGGCCAACTTACTCCGGTCCCTGGAGAATAACCAGTGTGGCACCTAGATTTCTACTTTTTATTCTTCAAACCACATTCACAAAACATGTACAGGGCCATGGCCGTAGTACTCCGTTGTGCCCGACCCTTCGCTAACGCCTTGCCTAAAATACTACACTTCCCAGTGGCGCCCGCAGTGCCTTCCGCATCCGGCCCCGCCCCTCGGCGCGCGGAAGTGACGTGAGCGGAGGCTGCTTTTCAGATTCTGGAGTTGATGCGGCCAGAGGGGATTCGTCCGTCCATTCCCAACTCCTGCTGTGGGTTGTAACCTGTTCCCGGTATTCCGTGAGCCCCAGAGGGATGCGGTCTCGTCCAGGTCACATGCCCTTTTAACTTCATTTACACCGAGACAAGAAGGAAGATGGGAGGGGTGCAGCCTTCTCCACGGGGGTTCATCAGGGCACAAGTCGTCAACCCAAACACTCCACTGCCGGTGACCTTATTCCTCCTTTGGAGTCCCTGAAATTATAGGCAAACTCCTTTATCTCTGGGGAAGAGGACCTCTTAGGCCATAGCGCCTCGACTTGGCTCTCTGGGTCTTTATTTTTTTAAATATGTTTTTATTGATTTCAGAGAGGAGTGGAGAGAGCGAGGAGATAGAAACATCAATGATGAGAATAATTCATCAACTGCCTGCTCCACGACCCCCTACTGGGGATCCAGCCCACAACCGGGCATGTGTCCTTGACCAGAATTAAATGGGGACCCTTCAGTCCACAGGCCAAAGCTCTATCCACTCAACTGGTTAGGTCTCTCTGGGTATTTATTTATTTATTTAGTCAGTCAGTCAGTCAGTCAGTCTGTCTGTCTCTGAGAACTGGGCTGTGCTGCTGCCATCTGGGGACACCCTCAACTGAGGTGTCGGAGAGCAAGCCCCACTTCACTGGTGGGAGGGCATTTCCACCTGGACACCTCTCACTTCTCTACCTTACATAGTAGGCGTTCCGAAACTTACTCCTTCTCTAGGAAGACCAAGAAATTTTCTGTGTCCCAGAGAACCAGGAAGAGATGAGAATTTTCTAAAATTTCTTCTTAGCTCTTGCAGGATGGATCCATTTCCTTCTCTTGCCCTCAGGCTGCCTGGTTTGTAGTGAATTTCAATTTAGCCCTGGCCCTGGATAAGTGCCTGTTTTATTTAGAATCTTCTCAGGTCTCTCTCCCACCTAGAAATTAGCTGTTAACACAGAGAAGTTCAAAGTATCAATGCAGGGACATGCATGTTTAAGGGTCCAGTGATGCTTCCTGTATGTGAAAGTCAGGGATCACAGGATGCTGGTGATAAGAGATCAAGGAAGACTTCCAAGATGAGGGGCTGTCTGACTTCCTGCGAGACACAGGAATAATAGGGATCACAATGCCGGATACCAAACTATATTACAAAGTCATTATAATCAAAACAGCCTGGTACTGGCAAAAGAACAGACACAGATCAATGGAACAGAACAGAGACCCTAGAAATTGACTACACCGGTACGGTCAATTATTTGACAAAAAAGTCAAGAACATACAATAGAGTAAAGACAGTCTCTTCAGCAAATGGTGTTGGGAAAACTGGACACGTGCGAAAAGATGAGACTAGACCACTAACTTACACTATACACAAGAATAAACTCAAAATGGATAAAAGACTTAAATGTAAGCCATGAAACCATAAATATCCTAGAAGAAAACATAGGCAGTAAAATCTCAGACATCTTTTGAAGCATTTTGCTGATACATCTGCTAGGGCAAGAGAAACAAATGAAATAATAAACAAATGGGACTACATCAAAATAAAAAGCTTCTGCCCTAGCTGGTTTGGCTCAGTGGATAGAGCATTGGCCTGCAGACTGAAGGGTCCCAGGTTCGATTCTGTCCAAGGGCACATGCCTGGGTTGTGGGCTTGATCCCCAGTAGGGGACCTGCTGGAGGCAGCTGATTGATGTTGCTATATCTCTCTTTCTCTCTCC